TTTAGGAGGGAAAATTAACTCACCTAGTAGATTAACCTTTTACCTTGAAAAATATTATTATCATTACCATGATAGCACTAAGACAATCAACACCCTTCACCACAACCACACCCAAAGGGAACCCGAAATTAAAACCTCCCCACGAAAATTACCTTAACTTTAGACTCCAGGAAGTGGTTTGCCCTTTGATCGTCGCAAATTTTTAGAATGCATGAAACAAAAATTTGCAATTGATATATATTCAAATAAAAAGATGTTTACTTAATGGTCTCAGAACACAAGACAATATACAGCAAGCTCCTGCATTTCGCGCTGAAAACAGTCGCGATATACAGAGACGGGCTATCGGACCGCGTCCAGATGTAAATTTTAAAACTTTTTAGGTTGCTTAGGAATAATACTTTGTTTTGAAGCAAGGAGTTATCCAACAACAAAACTGAAACATGTCAAAAGCTTAAATTTGAACTGCTTCAGCTCAACAGGAAATGACATGAAATTACGGGTTGATCAGTGTCTAATTTCGCATCAAAAAGGACGAATGGAAGCAAGTTTCACGTGCACCACTATGTAATTTGAATTTCTTTCGTTGTGAAGAAAGTTTTGCTACGTACTTAAACAAAAGAATTCAGAGCCAATAAAATGTAAATGAGGCGAAATGAGTCATTCGACATCGTTAGTTGTATCTGCCACCATTTTATTTAAAGCGATGAATAAAATAATCTCACAACAACGGCGCCTCGCGATTTTTTTCCTCATATTTTTGTAAAAACGATTTCAAAAGAAAGTTGACGTGTGTTTTTTTCTACACGCCAGTGCAAATACTCGGGTAATGCAGTTAGCGAGAACAAAAATATTCAATCCTATAACGATCTCCGATTGCAAAACGCGTGAAAACAAGCAAACACGTCCTAAACAGCTTAGGGCTGATCTCTTAACAATATCGACTCACTAAGGTATCGGAAAATTACTGTGCCACGATAAAAACAAACCACCTTTATCGGTTCATATTTGCCATTTGAACGAAAGTGTAGGCGATGACTCATTTGAGAGGAACCCCCTTGAGGACGAGAATATTTCTTAACCACAACTGCTTACATCATCTCCTCTGCGAAATCTAGTTCATTGTTCTGTTTTGAATACTATCAAGTGATTTGAGCTTTCTGAAATCAACAAAATGTCTTTACAAGTTTTTCTCTTCTTGCCAGCGTTGTGCGTAATTTTTTTTTAAGATAGACGGCACGCGTCTACGATTAGAGAAAGAAATTATAAGCGATGAAATAATTGTATCAACATTTTTTCTCACCTAAAATTAAGTTAAATCCGCCGATGACTATACACACAGATGAAGCAATTCCAGGTCCAAATGTGATTGGAAACTCCAGATCTTTCCACTCGCAACTGAAAGGTTTATCCGTTCCACCATTCGATGAATTGTTTGCGTTGTTCGAGGTTTCATTGTTTTCCATTGCCGCAGCCGACGAAATCCAGTAGAAGGCCAACACAATCGCTCGCAAAATCGTTTCGGAAATACGTTGCGGTCTTCCCATCTACAGTTCAATCAAGAACCGACAAAAAGCGCAATAAGTGAGCAAATAAAAGATTTCGAGGCCAAATTCAACGTACTGTACTCAACGAACATAAATCTCGGTTACTATCTCAGCCAATAGAACATACCATCCTGTAATGAGCGAATCCTCGTGAGCGTTTCAATTTCAACACCGGTTACGAAATAATTTCCAAACCATCTACTGAAAGGCTGTCTTTTTCCTGCTGACGATTCTGGATTAAAAAGTTGACGAGGTATTTTGATCTACCTGAAACAGAACGCAGTAAGACCACACAGTCAAAGTTACAAAACGCACAGCAGAGAGATATTACACTATGTGTGGACCTCTCATGCAGTGTAAGCCTATTACAAATTAATTGCGCAGCAGACGTCATGAATTATTAATTTAATGTGTCACGCACTCTCTAGAGACTTCTACAGGGATCAAGAGGAGAAGAAAGAAATGGTTTCCTTTCGTTTTCGTTCAATATTTTGTGAGAAAAAATTTGTGAATTTTTTAAGAGTGATTGTGCAGCAATTCGCATGTCGTGATTTTGTTTTTATTTTCCACACTTTCTTAATTAGCTTAATTAAAATGAAACCGCTCCCTCTGATATGTCGGAAAAGCGAGGAAATAGTGAGCTGGATATAAATTTGGAAAAATTCTGCCAATCAGAACTATAGCGGAGAAATTTATAAGTGGGAGGAGACGTCGATAAAAATTATACAGCCTGCGTTACAAGTGCCTCGCGTGAACGCGAGTGACATGCGAGAGTAGGAGCAGATCGCGGGCAAACACCCGCGGAGATAGAGCGAAAAAGCTCTCAACCTCTTTACACTTAATTAGCATGAGCATTTTCCGGGAATTTAACTTTTTGGATTGGCGATATTCTGCACTTTACGGTAACCTAAAAGGTTGCGTTCTGAGAAGATTTAAACACCTAATGGAAATAATTTTCTTTGTTATTTTCTGCGTAAGCCGTAGATTATTTTCTAGAGAAGGCAATAGTTTCAGATTTTTTAGGCTTGACAGGTTTTACATAAGGGAGCTACTCGCTAGATGATTCCTTCACGGATACTTTGGATTGAGTCCGAAAACGAAGATGATTCGTTAACACTTGATTCCCACGCAAAGTTTTTAATTTAATGTAAATGGTAACAATTTGGGCGTTTTTTTCAGCCGGATTTTCATTTTCTCTAGCCAGAACTTATCAAGTTAGGAATTGATGGCAATCCGCAAAATCCGCAAAAGCTAAAACATGCAATTTTTTCATTGATACGTGGTTTTCATCAAGTCGTGTGATTCCTTAGCTCGCGCGTGGTTTCTCGCTCGCGCTTCTCGGTTTAAAATTCCCACTCCGCCCTGACCTCGTAAAAGAATTGGAAAAGAAATCCTGAGCAGTTGGCACAATAAAGCGCAAAAGTGATGATCAAAAGGTGTGCTGTATTCCAAGCTGAGATCGCCAACAACTCATGAGCAACGAAACAGAAAATATGCAAATAGGAATTGATTACCACTTGTGTGCAGCACCTTGGCACCTTGGCTTAAGCTTCTAACTCTCCCCACTATCATTTACACGTTTCCTCGTTAAATAGTTACAAGAATTTGTTGTTAGATCAAGATCACAACTTCTACTTGATAATTTTGAGTATTCTTATAACCTACTGGATAATGTATGGATATGATAAGGAGAAGGTACAAGTTAATTACTTCTAGGAGTTGAGGTTAAACTGCTTTTCACCAGCTTTCGCTTTCTAATCCGCTGAACTTTGCTCCGTTGAAAAGTTGGAAGACACGATGAAATTTGACATCTGTTATCTCCAATTTCTGAGTTTGTTTTCGTTTTCTCTGTTTCATGATGAGTGAAAATACTTCTTGAAATATAGTGGTAACAGCTTAATTTACACACTCGTAATCATCGAATAATTTAATTCATGTTGGAAAAGTAAGAGCTGTAGGAAAAGTAGAGCGTCTTTCCCTGACAAGGATTCTTTTATCTCATCATGATAAACGTTTCTCACTTTCCAATTTTTGTTTCATTCTGTTTTGTTTTTCTTTCGCGCAGGATTTCATAGATCTTATCATGCTAGTAATGCGGAAGCCGATTTATTTCCTTATGAACGCAAACCTTTTTCGAAACAGAAAGAAAGCATTGTTTTTCTAACCAAACGCGAAATTTTGACACAACAAAGAAGCTTAGCGCAATTAACTTTGGTCTTGTCAATATTTTGCGTGATAAGCGACTCGACTAAACATGTCCTCTTTTGTTTCGCTGAAACTGAAATTACGCATTTATGAGCGCGTTTTTTTTAAAGGCTTGCTGATACAAAAAGAAAGGTTTTCCCCAAATTTATTTAGATCAGTATCCAATCCACCGTTGATTTCAAACCAAACGCTTTCAATAAACAACTCCAAACTTAGAATGAAATTTCTAATTATCGGATAACGTATAGGCCAAACTTGAAGGTTATACACGGAAACCAGTTTAAACCACAACTAAACAAACGGCAAACCGTATCTTGAACTTACCGAGAGCTTTAAACGGGTGAATTCCCTTTTTTTTCGACCAACATAACGAGTCTTTCATAAGGCAAGAAAAAGAAAACCGGGTGGCATAGGTACATAAGCTGTGTTCATAACGTGGTGAGTGGAAGATATGCTAATGACAAGACTTACAAGTAAACACAGCCGTTCCAATGACACCATCACCCGAGAAAAGCGATATCAATTAAAATTTCATGAGATAGCTTTTTAGTTTTTCCATCCGGTGTTTTAGCAGTATGGGATGTGGACCTGGGGGGTCCACATCTACTAATGGATTTGGACTCGGGGGTCCATATCCGCTGATGGATTTGGACCGGGGTTCAAATCCGCGGGGGGTCTAAATTTGCTGTGAAGTCGGACCTATGAGTATAATAAAAGATCTTGGTAAATTCTAATGCCTTTTTTCGCCATTTTTTCTTAATTCTATATTTAGACTATTAATTTTTAATGTTTGGTTTTACTCTGTTATTTTTGCATTTTGCTTTGTTTGTCATTTTTGTCGTTGGTTGTTGTGGATTTCACGCTTTTTACCAGCGCCAAAGTTTCTCAAGTTGTTGGGTGCCTGAGTCACGGTTTTCAAGACTCAATTCCGGCGATTTCCTCAGATTCGAAAAGTATGCGTCACCATACAAAACGTGACAAGGTGTTCTCACATTTTCGGATCCAGGGTTTGCTCAGGCTATACGCTCGGGGTTTACAGTGATTGTTTAAAAAACCTTAACTAAGACCGCATAACCGAGCAGAGTGTGGCTCAAGAGTTGGAGAAACTGAGCCCGGGTGAGAACATTGTGTTGGACCAAATTTCTGTTTGAGAAAGATTTTCAGATTACTTTTTCTTACTCTTTTATTTTATACTTGACACAACAAGCCCAACAAAGTGAACAGTTACCAAACAAAATGACGTCCTTCTTGTTTTTATTCAAAGATACTTACACTGAAAAAAGAGACAAGGAAAAAAGATCAATCTTAGCGCACATGATTGATTTTGGGGCACATGTTCATCCTTAAAGAATGTAATTTAATTTGCATGGTATATCGAAACATTCCTTTCTTTCCAACGTTTGGACTGAGACCCTCTTGTTATAGCCTGCGAGCAGGTTCCCATCATTTACGCTTCGCCAAGAGCGTTTTTTCGCCTGCGGGAAAGTAGGAGGCCTTGATCAACGCTGGCCGGCGAGAGCTCTTCTGCAAGGGGTCTAGCAATGATAATGTGGCACTATTAGTGCCAGACCCCCTGTAAACTTCCCTTTATATATATCGTTCTGCAGCGCGAAGACGAGGCCTACCCGCAAGTTAGTTTTGTCATAGTGCCAGTTTTTCACTAGTTTGAATCATTTCAACACCCCGCGTAAGCCACGTTTAATCAAAGGTTCCGTACTACAGTTTGCTATCATAAAAACCAAACACACTAATGATAATGTCTACCTTCGGTTGTAACTCTCTTTAAAGTTCCTCCTCTTACCTTTCGATTCCTATTTAACTAAGCATCCGAAAAAGTAGCCATTTCATACAAAGGGCACTACTCAACTACAATGTCTATAGATCAGTGCATTCGGAGAGCTAGAACATATTACTTTATAGTATTTTGATAATGTTCAATACGGTTAGCAGAAAATTCCTTTTGAAACTTTATAGTTTTTAGTTTCGCACTGTGTCGGCCTGCTCGCTTTACAGGTGTCATCACAAATTTTTGATTTATGGCTTATACCTGTCTTTAAACTGTTTTCCTAAAATGGCAGATAAAACACGCAACTCATGCTAAAGTTATTCTCTCCCGTCGAGCCAACATTTTTCCATTGCTTAGCTACCACATCAAAACACTCAATTGACTTCACACCACGTCCACCGATGCAGAAGATCTGATTATCTCGTGTTACAAGTCCAAAATCATTCCTTGAGTCTTGCATTTTTTCATTTAGTATGGTCCAGCTCTTTGCCTTCGGGTCGAACACCTCTATCGTGTCCAGGCTCCGCTCGTTGTTCCTGCCGCCCACAACATATACCAGCCCATCTATCGCGCATGCTCTCAAAAGAAAACGCGGGAAGTTCATTGACTTCAAAGAGGTCCACTTTTCTTGTTTTGTGTCATAGCGTTCGATGGAGGCTAAGGCCCCATCTGGGCTGTGTCCACCAATCACGTACAGTTTACTAGACAAAAATGTCACACCTGTGAATGAAAATACTATTAGAGGGGGACAGAGGTTGCGTAAGAGTTAAGTGACTTGTCTTTGCGATAAAACAATTGGGAAATACCTGGACATCGCCTGCTGTTACTCATATTTGGAAGATCTGTCCACTCCTGTGTTTCCAGATTAAATTCATAAGCTGATTCTCCTTTCTGCCTTCCACCCACCACAAAAATACAATCTTTTCCTGCACAAACACCTGAATCACGGACGTCAACACCTGTAACATAATTTTTTTATATATATCAAAGACATAAATCTAACACTAAAAGAAACAACATTTTGCTAAACCTTAACAAAGCAGAAAAACAGAAGTGCACCTGTGCTAAGGAAATCACCTCGGATGGCTCCTTACACCTTGTGGTAAAAATTGGGAGGGGCACTGAGGTAGTTTACATGCCACAGAGAACAACAGGACTCGAAATAGTCCTTTTCACGATCCCAATTAAAGTAAGATGATGAACCCTCACCAAGCGTGCGCTGATCTGGAATATTTACCCGTTTCATAGCCATCCATTACAAAAGCAGGCAAGGCATTTTTCATTAGGTAACGTCCTATTAAACTCTATAACTATTATGCGGGAATTTCAGTCGTGCAATACAGAGCACTCAATCTCACCTTCACCCACTTCAGTCCAGCAAAGTTCCAACAAATTAAACTTGTCAACTTTGCTACTGCACACGCAATAAAGTTCATGTCCCACGACAACTGCGTAGCGGTTTTCGCTCAAACTCTCTACGGTTCCCGCCGGTCCTGTCATCTCATGGCAGCGCACGCATGCGCAAGTCACCGAATCGAATCGTTCCACGAGGTTTGTTCTACAGCTAATAACATAGATCACGTCTTGTGGCTTTCTTGCAAAATCTGATTTAGATGTTTGTGTTTTGTGTGTGTTGTTCCCAGATGCGTGTTGGTCTAAAGCCTCCTTCACCCGATCGACGCAAATATTGTACTTTTCACAAAGATTTGGAACGATTTCTTTGGTGAGGTACTTTGACGGGATCTGTTCAAAATGGATCTCCCTGAACACTCTTTCTGCCTTGCTTGCTCTGCCAAAAAAGGAAAACTTTCTGTTATCATGTATCTTCCATGGGACCAGGGGTAGGGGGGTGGGGTGCGAAGGATCTTTTAGGAGGGGAACACATGGTTTTCAGGGAGAACGGAGGCGGGATTGGTCGTTTCCAACAGAGTATAGGGAGGGTTCTGTTTTAAAATGACCGCCGATTAATTGGCCAATGAAGGGAAATCGTAAGAATGTTACAGAGGCCTCTGGGGGGGATCAGGTAAATTTCATCGTAGTGTGACTTTTGCAAACTTGCATAAGAATTTTTTTTTAATTTTTCATTTCTTAGCTCTTAATTATATAAGTCGTCTTTATATGTCAGTGTCCAGTGGTGAAAGCCATTGCTTCGCTTTCCGAAGCGCTAGTTGTTCCAAGACTATTTGTCATGATCCACTGACGTGTCCCCCACTTCAACTTTGTACAATACGTTCCTAAATGTGCGCCGACCCACCGCTATTTCTATTTGTTTATAAAACAGCTTACCTTCCATTTGGGTCCTGTCTGAACCACCTATAAACTGCCTCGTACACAGTCTCCTCGCGTTTAACTCGTATATTTTCGCTTCCAATTACTTCGATTAGGTGCTCAGCGGACATTGCCAAAAAGTCAGGCTCTTTAAGTAGGCTCTTGAAGTTCCAGTCAACAAAACGGTCAATTTTAGCTTTGAAATTTGTAAGTTTAAGTTTATGGGCTAAGCTTTGAAACCGCAGACAGTTGGATGCTTGAAGGTTTGAAATGACAAATTCCTGGAGCTCTTCAACAATTTCTTGTATCTACAAGAAATAAATATGACATTTTGATCTTAATGGGAATTGGCTCTATGAATAGGTTGCAGGAAATTCAGCTAAAAGATAATGCAGAGTAAGTTGGAAGTTTAGTGAGCGATTTTAAATACGGCCAGGGCTTAGTGACTGCTTTTTACTAAATTATCTTTAGGATCAAGGATCATAACCAAAGCAAACCAGGGCACCCAAGCAGGAGAAAGGTAAAGATATCCAGGTGAAAAAATGAACTGAGATTAAAACACTAGGTTTTAGTTCAGGAAATGTTTTTCTTATTTGAATAATGGGCCAAGTTGTCGAGAGAAAAAATTTCATATAGATGCCAAAACTAGAGAAAGATAATATTCGTCATAGCACGAGCATGGATAAAGAAAAAATTCTGAGTTCCTATGAGGAATCGAAACTCAAACCTTCGGATTCCGAGCTCCGATGCTCTACCACTGAGTGACAGAGACTCTATGGATGAGCAAGACCCATCACGAAGTTCCAAAACTAGTTCGGAAGGATCCAGCCTATTCTCACTGATTCTTAAGTTCTGTGATTGGTAAAAAAAAAAAAAAACCGCGAAACTTTCCTAATCAACAGCTATTTGATTAGGGTAATTTAGTGTTATCAGCTGAGTTGAAAACGTAAATTGGCCACCGTAAAGAGTTTAAAGGCTGACGTATCGAGCGCTGGCCCTTCATTAGAGCAATGGCTCTGACAAAGGGCCAACGATCGAAACTTCAGCCTTTAAACTTTTTACGGTGGCTAATTTACGTTTTCAACTCAGTTAATAACTTTAAATTACCCTGTTATACTCTCCCACCGACGCAGCACCACAGTTTGTTTAGAAACTTACTCCAGCTATTTGCCTACTATCCTTTTCCCACGTTTGTACCGTTCACCTGCATTTCAATCCGATTTCTCATTGGCCACTCGGAATCTTTAGCTTTGTTTTGATTGAACGGTGTGATAACTCTGGTGTTGGTTTTCACGCCACTCGATAGACACGCCTACGCATGTGGACAAGACCATGAAGACCCGTTTCGAATAACGGAAACTTTAAATCGCGGTTAGAAAAATGCCAAAAAATCATTGTTTTTCAGCTTATCGAGGGAAAATCAACATGTTTCGGCTTAGTGGAGTAGGTTATATTCGAGCTTGTCCCAACTTCGCAATGATTTTTTCCCTATGTTTCCTAAGAGAGCAACTCGGAAATGAACTCTTTCATTTCAGTTTTGTAATCAAAATTCGTTACAAAGTTTTATTAGTTATCGAATTATATCAGGCTTAATTACGATTATAATATGAAAATTCGAACGAGGCAGCCGACAATACTGCTCATATTGTCGCCTCAACGGAACGAAATTACTTTTTCAATATTATGCTGACCAAAAGTTATGACACACTTCAACAGGATCCGATTCACAAATTCACATCAGTTGGAATACGCCGACGTCGAATTCCGCCGGAAAAAATCAAATACGAAATTTCAAGAAAATGAGCATCAGTACATTCATCCTAAAGCAAATATTACATACGCAAGAAATGTTGCTCTTTCAGAGACGGGAGAAAACATTTCACATCACACTGCTAATAAAGTCATTTTGTCCGGCTGATAGTTACTTGTTCATGTTACAAATGTAATATGCTAAGTTATAAGGCTTAAGTTGAAAATCTTTCTCACTGTAAAAAGAAAATTTTCTTGTGTAAATCATATTGTGTCCAACGACAAATGATGGTTGAAATTTAAAGTTCAATTTATTTAAACAAAATCATGTCAAACCTGTAAGAGGGAAGCCAGTGAAAGAAGCTCTTCGCAGTTGTCTGTGTTAATTACCAAGTTGCCAGAGTAGAAATAATCTAAAATCAATCTCACGGTGTCTTCTCGAAAAATGCTTGGCAAAGCAATTTCTTGTTGAAGTGTTCCAGAATTTTCCGAAGCAAAGATATTTCGTATGTACGGCGAGTTGCCAGCGAGAATCAAGCGGTGAGCAGCAAACGTTACATTGCCTACTTTCAATGTCACATCGCAAAGTTCCATATTAGATCTCATATTGTAAAAACGATCAAATATAGCGGCAAAATAACACGGATTTGAACTGTAGTCTATCCGTTTGCTTGCCCTAGGGTTATTATTCTGCTTAGAGCTTGCCATTCTCAAAGCCTTTGTCGCAGTTTCAGAATTGGATTATACAGAGATCATGCGCAAAATAGTCTTAAAAGATAATACACGTTATGATTGTATTTCCATTTTCGCCGTCGTCCATTATGTTCAGGCTGAGCATTATGTCTCTTCAAGGCGGAAAGTGTCACTTGGAGGCTACCTTATCTCTCCAGCTGCGCCATTCGACGTACACTTAAAAAAGAAGTCCTTGATTCATCACCTTGTCATGCGAAAGACCAATCACATTTAACGAGGTCTCCTATTTAGACAATTTCTGTGTCAATAAATCAGCTGCAATGAACCACATTGTCGAAGTAAGATAGATATTGTGTGTGGGATTGACACTTCATCTCGTTGGACACTCGCATTATTTTGTTTGGAGAACTAGCGATTCCATCAGCGCAAGGTTTGTATTTCAGTAGTTGGCCTCAAGCAGTTCCGTTTTTCTTTGTTTATTCCATCAGTTGACGTGGCCACAGTAATTATCCAATCGACTCAGCAGTTTAATGTTTCCGATAATAACTTTGGCTCAGCATCATCTAATAACTCTTTCCTAACTTAAAATACCATTCAGAGGTTCTCTACCAATAGTTTTTCTCCCTCAACTGAAGAAAATGTTAAAGCGTCATCGAGTCGCCGCCTTATATAACTAATCTTTTGTTTGTGACAGCTTATCTCATGCACTGCTGCAAAAAAAAAAACAGTGATTACTTTCCTGTATTTAATCTCTATGGCGTCAAAGGTATATTAGAATAAAACTCATATCAGTTATCGCAGCTGCTATAGAAAAGCCGCTTCGAACGATGACGACAGCCTTTCCAGAACTCTACGGCTTCGCTATTTCGCTGCTTCGTTGCTACCTTCAAAACCTCAACGGAAATTGAAACTAGTTAGTTTCAAGCAGCTGTGAACCCCTGAGATAAATAAATTTCTCTGCAATAAAATCTCGCAAGATGGCATTTAATTTTTTTTAAATCAGATATAATTTCTCTCCTAAGTGGTCAAGAAAATTGTTATTTCTAAGCACACTTAAAAAAAAATATTAGTTTTCTGGGGCAAGCGCGATTTCACATATAGTTGAACATTATGAGATTATATTTTAATAATATTTTTTTCTAAATTGGCTCGTAATAAGTAACCAAGGCTATTAAATCCCATTTGATATGAATCGAAATTCTCCTTTTTAGCAGCTATATCGTCATTGGTTAACAGAGCTAGGCGTTAGATAAAAATAATACGCTTCAGATGATACTGAGTTGGTGTAATTTAATCACTTATTTACTAGTTGGTGTATGAGAAGTTGCGCGAAAAAATAAATGTTGATCACTAATTGCTTTCAATTGTCTGGCTATTTGCTGGTTCTCTTACATCTTATCTTCTCGCTGATCAGTAAAAAAAAAAAAAAAAAAAAAAAGGAAGCTTTCCCAGTATAAGCATATGCTGCAAAGGGCATCCACAATAGTTCAAATCCTTCGGAAGAAAAAACTTGAAATTGATAGAAAATCAAACGTATAAATCAAAGGACATACTCATGCACGGATCTTGGTATATACATTCAAACATGAGAAGGGTCCAAAATGTGAGTCAATATTAAATTTTAATGAAAAATAGTTATATTCTTCCAATCCTCTAACAGCAAGTCTTTCTGGCTGGAAGTCAACTATTTATTACACTTCTTGGATTATAATACTTTCATTGCAGCTTTCTACACTTTCAGATTTGTCCTCTACCGACCTAACCTCCAAGAAATCTTCTTCCGGACTCACTTTTCCTTTTCCTCTGCCACGCCCTAAGGAAAATCCCGCGATAAATGTTTCGATTTGACTCATTCTGGTCCTCATTTGGCTACCAATAGACCATGAAATTCTAGGGAGATCATCTCGAAGTCTAAAGTCTTCCATTGTGCTACGCCTTCGCGTCTTTAGTGCCTCCCACAGCGTGTGAGGTGCGTTCGGATCATTTTCGTTTTTTGTCAAGTGCGATGCCAAAACCCACTCAAAGACAAGCACAATAAGACTTACTAGAACACCAGCGCCAAGAATTATGAAGACTCCCGCCATGTCATTCAATCCCAATTGTATGCCGCTATCACTGCTAAGGTATTCCTGAGCTGTGAAGCAGTCCTCATGAGTATGCAACCACTTTTGTTCAAGGTTGTCCATGAAGCCATCCTGGCGCAGTTGTAAGATTACTTGGCTTAACTGCTTTGTGTATTTAGAGCCCTTAGGCAGGCCAATACCGTAACCAATCTTGCCAAACAGCTTACCGATGGTTGTTAGAGACCCACAAGGCTCAGCAGAGTGCACTGAATGCTCCAAGACGATAGAGTCCCAAATGAAGGCGAAATTACCTCTCTTCACCTTATTAATTCCTTCATCACTGCTGGCGACGAGGGTATGATGGTACTTCATATACTGCCACATAGTCACGAATACGGGAATAGGAGATGACTCAAAGAACGCCTGTGGCTGGCTGTTACGAACGGTACCATACGAAATAGATTCCTGGCCTGCAAGGTCTTCCATGCTGCTTATTGGAGAACTAAACCTTTTTAAAGTGAGAAACGCGGCTAGATTTGCTGTATACGCCGAGAGAAGGATCCCAATTGCAAACCACCAAACTGTGACAACGGTCCTTCCAGAAGCCGAAACTGGGTGCAAACTGTCAGAGGTTTTGCCGACATAGTACATTGCAGATGTCCATAATGCATTAGTTAGGCAAAGATTGTGTTTTTGCTTCTCGTACTCCTTTGGTATTTTACGATTGGCTACGTTAAGGCATCTACCATAAAATCCATAGGGACTAACAGTACTAAAAAGCCAAATTAGAAAGCCAATTGTCAATGTGGCAGCGAGTATCACCAACCACAAATGAAGATGAAAAGGTTTGAAAAACGTATAATACTCAACTTTGTCAATGACAGTTTTAACAAGGGCCGTCAGTCCTAGATCAATAAAAGGCTGGGTAAAATCGATTACTTTTTGTCTTTCTGAGCTAACTGTAAACGCAGCCACAGCCATATCAGCTCTTCCCTCGATCAGCTCCTTAACCATTCCATTCCATTCTTTAGAGATTGGGTCCTGTGAACCGTAGCTATTGTCTGGCACCAGGTATATTTCGTACGAAAATTTTAAAATTTTTTTTAGTTCTTCCAGTAGTTCCATGCAATAACCTTGTAATTGGGGTTTTCCTGTGTATGTGGACGACCTTCGCACGATAAAAGGTTTTTCTTCAATGGTGACAACTGTTATGGTCCGATTTTCCAAAGATATGGAGGTGTCTACAGGAGCGATCGTTTTCCCAGACGACCATATTATCTCCTTTTTTGTGTCCATTACCAGCCCATTAATTGAGTCCCATCGAGCAACTGTCTCAAAACCATACGAGCGCATGTTGACGATGTCAAATCTTGCTTCGGATGGAGAGCGGTTAGTGCCAAAGAGCTTGCGATCTATGACACCAGAAGTATTGACCTTTGTGATGTAATCTAAAAGAGTGGCTCCAATTTCACTGAATGAGGATCCCTCGCCTTTGTCTGCACCAAACTTCAAGCCCTTTGTGCTTGTTACATTGTGACCGTCTTCGACCATGTTGTGAATTGCCTTTGCCAAAACCAAGACTGAGTCAAAGACATGTCCCACAGTCGAATCTCTTTCAAGAGGTGCTTTTTCGTATCCTTTTCCTTCCCACATGCTTTTAAACTTTTCGTATTCTTTGCTACCACCGAACGAATTCCTGATGCCTACAATACCTTGAAGATACCTCGGTATGGGTTGCCCATTGTCATAAAGTCCATCAAGGGCAAATGCTCCATTTGTGACAAGCCACACCCATCCATCAATCATTCCAAGATCACTGGCTTGTTTTAGAATTGTGCGAACGTTGCTGGCGATGCAGTTTACCAAAACGATCCTAGCACCTCGACTTCTTATGTGCAGAAGTTGTTTCGTCGCGTTTACCTTTGACGCGTTACTAAACTCTTGGAAACTTTCCACGGCTAGAAAGGTCCATCCCTTGTGAGAGGCAATGTCTTTGAACATAACTAAACCGTTAAGTCCAAAATCACTCCGGGATGTTAACACTGCTAAGTTTGTCCACTTGAAATGTGACACAAAGTCGACCATAGCACGATTTTCAATTGCATCACTGCTACTCATGCGTAATAGATATCCGTACGAGTGGGGAGAGAAGTCGAATATAGGATCCGTTGCGTAGGGAGCTAATTGCGGGATGTGAAAACCAGTACATAGTGGCTGGGTGACTTTAATTGTAGACGAAGTGATTGGTCCGACAATTGCAACCGCACCACTCTGAATCTGCCAATAAGTTGCATCCACATTGGAAAAACTGTTACTCCAATCAGTTTGATTCACCAAAGGAACGAGAACAGTGCTCGGAAGCAATGTCGTATCGTTGTTGACATACTCCACTCCAAGATTAAAAGCTAATAGTTCTTTAGAGTTTTCTTCGTTGCAGAATATTCCTCCGATCTTTGCGTAGTTCGAGCCGGAAACACTCAAAGAGTACGTTAAAGAGGCAAAAAGAAGTAAAAGTTGATGTTTTGCCATCTAAAAACTTAACTTTCCTTTTCTCGTTCGAGTGTAAATTGTCAGTTGTTTAATCATCTACGTCACAAACAGCGATATAATCAGTTTCCCGCTCACGCGAGCGCCCTACGGGCCATACGATAAATATGTACTTACTTATTGATTTAACGTACGATAAATATGTACTTATTTATTGAAACAGAGACAGTTTCGAGTTTGTCAAGAAAACGTTCTCAAACACAAAGTGTGGATCTTTTTTGTTAAATCCAACGAAGTTTGCCCCATCAATTTGAGCTGAGGAAAACAGAATGTTTTCTGCGTTAGCTTCAGTTTTGCTTTCCGGTCCATCATGGAATCAATGTTAGATGGAGTTCTCGATATCACAGTACGAACCACCGTAACAACAGGTAAAGACGAGGAGTACTCTAAAGTGGAGATGAATGGTTATCCGGCTACTTCATCTCATGAAAACTTATTTCTTGAACGAACTTTTCATTTCATCTCTCTACAGATCCTGTCCAGAGGAAAGTAGCTTATACCATTTAGTGACCGGCTGTTCAAAGGGTGGATAACATTATCCACTGGATAAATCTCTATCCGGTGAATCGTGCAGTACACAGCGTTATTGACCGAGCGTGAGGTCTGAGTGAAGATGGATGGATGGATATTGGCCGGGTTCTTTTTTGCGTTTTTATAAACCGAGACGAAATCGAAATTCCTATCTTTCTTATTCTATTAGTGCTAGTCCCTTTTTTGCATAGTATGAAAACGAGACAGAGAGGACTTGAAGTCAATTCTAATTCTGCTTTCCCCAAGAATAAGAGAAAATAATAATTTAAAAAAGGAATATGAGATTCGTATGTATGAAGGAATAAAGAAGATCGGAAATAAACTTTTTAACGCTATTTTTACTGCGCTGAATTCGAAAACGAAATTCCAATTGCATTGTGTTCGCCATTTAAAATAACTTAGTACTTGATTAAGGATCATAGATTCGAACGAGTGGCGTTTATGCAAGTTTCTGTCAGGCGCAACAATTGTTTTTAAAACAAGACACGAGCGAGGGACTGGCGTCAACACATCTAATGGCGGAAATGGACATCCCTACATGAAAACTCAAAATTGTTGTTTTCATAAAAAGCCGATTTGCTGCTCCGGCCTCACTTTAACGTTAAAACATGGGGAATGGAATGAACAAGGTATGAAATCTCCTCTTCGTTTCTCTTTTGTAATATTCTTGCGTTTTTCGACAATATTTCCAACTTTGACATCGTCTGTACCGCTGGTGTGGATTGCAGAATTTATTCTAAAAAGCTGTCGATCGCAGCAAAGATCTGTGTTATTTTCTCTTATTGATTGGGAAGCCAACAGTTGTAAAAAAGGTTTGTGTTAAATGCAGGTTAAAATTCTTAGTATGCTTGTTATTCAAAGACGGGAACATGGTTTTTTGCGCTCAAATTAAGGCAAACATAATTCATGTTTCTCTTCCAAAATCTAAGTAAGTAGTATTTTGAGTGAGATTCTGTACATTTAGTGGTCAGTTATGGCATAAAGAGGTCTTGTGTATCGTCTCTTATAATACCCCTAATCTGTGGAACGTGTTAGTGGTCAACCTGTTTCAAGCGGTCACCCCGCCCGCTAAATACAGGTTCGCCTGTACATCTCGGTCTGAATATCTCAATAAAGCTACATGAAATGTTAATCAACTCATTTGTGTTATTTATTCGCCTTCATGGGTGAAATTACCTATGGCTGGAGGCCGTTAAGAGAAGAAAGGGAGAGAGAGCTCGTGACTTGGCAGCTGTAGGCCACAACATCCTCCACTTCAAACTGGAATTAAGGCCAAACTGTTGAAAATCCTTCCTAACTGTGACTGCCGTTGATCGTTGAGGTGTTGCTCTATCCCTTCCCCAAATTTGAGCTTCAAAGCTCGAAATTTTTTTAGAAAATCAATGCTGAAATCATGAATACAGCTTTCTGAATATGATTGGTGCCAAACTCAGTGACAAGAGGAATTCATAGCATGCAAGCCGTTTCAAATTTACCAATCAGCACTTGGCATCCTGCAGTAGCCCTGTGCAGTTGATGTCGATGCACTGTAGGAGCTCTATCAGTGAGGGGCTCAAAAAGTAGGGACTACATGCATTACACTGGCATGATACTGGCTCTGTAAAAATATCATGGCTACTTGCATAGTTCTCCTTTTGAATTTGAAGTGTCTTAACCAAAGACTCATGTTTGTGATCACTTTATTTTATCTTAAACAGGTCCTTCCTGGACTTTATCTTGGCAACATCAGAGGTTTGACTTGATTTATTCTAAATAATTAATCATTTTACAAAAGTATTTTGAATACTAAGCAATTTAAGGTTTGATGTAAATTTTGGATATAAATTCAGGTATGCTCAGTTTTTGTTGATGTACCTTGCAGCATGCATGTCCTTGTAACCTAACAATATTATTCAAAAAGCATTCTTATTTTTAAAAGAAAAGTGAGAAATTATCTCTAACGGCTGTTCAAAGTTTACCTTCAAAATAGTGTTTTAAATTTTATTTGTTTCATTTTATATTTACTTAATATTTTTTTAATATATTATAGTTACATGTATCACATGGAGAAACCTTGATTGGAAGTTTGATGAAATCTTTAATATTATTAGTAGTTTAATAAAATCTGTATCGCACTGCTTGACAATTCAACCTTTTACCTGGCATGTGCCATCCCTTCCCTTCCTCCACCTTCCCTTTCCCACTGACAATAAGGAGGTTGGATGTGATCATGGTGTGATTATTGGTTATTTTTTCTTTGGGGCATAATGCAATGTGATCAATCCTATCTTATATGAAGAACTTACCAGTAGAATAAGGCCAGACCATAATACTTGGAGCTCTTTACCTTACTCTTGGTGTAAACTGTGTGGGGTTTTTAAACATCCCCTGCCACCCAATTTGCAATGAAGATGCTACAGACAGAGCTTATTGTTTTTATCCAAAAAGTCTCATTATTTGCACATGACATCAAAATGGCAGCAGATTCTCTTTCATTAAACCCTCAAACTCTGTGTGCAACCAATTGACTATTTGAAAACTGGCTGTATAATGACTTTTTCTTTAAGATGCCAAGGACAAGGAACAGTTAACAAAGTATGGAATAACACATGTTGTGTCCATTCATGATAATGCACAGGCACTGAATGAGGTAATTTACTGTTAATTTTAAAAATGTGCATTAATTTTTACTGACTCGTGTGTTTTCAGCTTTTCAAAGAGATTAGGGCCCATGAGCCATGATTTGTTTTGAGTAAATCATACAAGACTTGACTGGTATTATGTAATAGTGTGATTTCATTTACAATTGAATCAAATAACATAATCTGAAAAAAAAAAAAAGCCTTCATGTATATTTTCCTAACTTGAACAAAATAAATGACAAGGGGTTATGTTAACTTTTAATAACCTTCTAAAGAACCTCTGGAACAATTTTATTACTTCACTGGCTGTATACTAAATTTTTCAGTTTCAAAATTATAATTGCCACATAAAAGAGTCTTAGAGTTTTTAGATTTGTGTAGGTTGAATAAATCGAGACCTATAATGGAGTTAAGAGTTCTAAACTGGGGCAATTTTCACCTTTTCAGAATCTAATTTACAAGTGTTTTCATGCAGCTGATTCTCCTGATCAAGAAATGTAGGTTATGTAATCCAGTAATTATAAGAAAAAAATATTTTTAAGCAATCAATCATGGAAAAAGTTTTTAATAATGGTAATAGGACTGATTGGAGTCCAATTCTGTCTGTAATCGTATGAGTGATAACAAGATCGGACAACTGCGCAGTAGGAGTGTAATTTGCTTATCGTGAATATGATTACAGACTGAATTGGAAGACACGAAGTCTTTTTACAAATTAATCTTGAAAATTACAATTTCCAAGAAAAGAGGAATAGCCAAAATGTTTGCATTAAAAGACTGACAAAGGAGGTAACAAATTGTTTAATATCACTTTGAAATTGACTACAATCAAAATTAATTGAATATGATTGGTTGATTTAAACTACAACTTTGAATGTGATTGGCTTAGTGAACTGTCAGATAACAAACTGTCTGATAACAACTTGGCATGTGAATTAGTGGAGAAGAGGAGTTATTTTATAGCAAGGAAATTTTAATTTTTATGATTATTTTTGTCATAATTTTTATTAAAATAGTTGTAGTTTAATTGCAGAGGTAATTGTACAGATGTATGTGATCTGAATGTTTGTAATAATATGTGGGTAAATATTGACTTTGAGTACATATGTTGCTGTAGAACTAGAAGTTAGGCTAATTCAATGATACAATTGCATCAAGCCTAATCTTCTTGAAGGCTTAAATATATTGCTGCAATCTGAAAAGAAAAACACAGCAAATTCCATTCCAAGCTTGGGTAAATCTTTATGTTATAAAAGCTTTCCACACTTTGGTTTGTTTGATTTTTTATGGAGTCCAGCTATAGATGAGGGTTGCTCTTTCAGTGTTTGGAATAGCAACAATTGAGAAATCTTTTTTGCAAATTTTCAGATCAGTTTACTTCAAGGAGAGCATTGATTTTATTCACAACTGCAGGTAAATGATCCTCATAGAAAGATCCATATCCTTCGTCATCTTTACTTATTAGCTAGTTAGCGGATGTTTTGTCCCTGGATTGAAATGAATTTGGGTTAAACTGATTTTAAACCAGTTTTATAATTCTTTTCCTTTGATTCAGATAAATTATCATGCATAATTCTGAAGCAAAACAAAACAACACAAAAATTAAAAGTACATTTTAAAATTAACGTACATTTTAGGCTGTTAGCTACACTGTTAGTTGCATTTATTTGTAAGCAAGTTTATTTCCTTTTATTTCAGGTTAAACGGTGGAGCATGCTTAGTTCATTGGTAGGCAACTGATGATTTCTACAGTTCTGACTTCTCCTTTAATGAAAATGCAACTTATACAATTTATTAAGCAAATTGCTTTGTGAAGTTGAAATGAACAGTTGCCATTTCGACAATGGCAACTTGGAGGACTGAAAAAGATATGGATGTAATTTTAAAGCTTTTTTTATGTTGATAAGATTTTAATGGTTTTTTTATTATTAATATGCTTTTCGGAGCACATAAATTTATCTTTCAAAATCGAAATAAGTGATGACATATTTATGATAAAGAAACCAAAAACTGTTTTTTTCTTAAGAAAAGTGTTAACTAAACAAAGCGAGTGAGGTAAGTTAGTGAATGAATTTGAATGAATGTTCGATCTTGAGAGCGCCTTTCGAGTGAGTGTCGTAAAATTATTATCAAAGTTCCCGTAATCATAACGGCCAATCAGAGAAAGGAAAATTTTACAAGGAGCAAGTGAGACCTCAAATTAAAAAACACCATCAAACTGCCTGAAGCGCGGGAAAACGCGGGTGACTATGAAGCGAATGGTGAGTTTTATATTTGATTGGTTGAGAGAGTGGCGCGCATTTTTTGATTCAATTGTAAACAAAGGCTACCAAGGATACTATCTTTGCCGGGATTAGAAAAAGTTGCCCAGGTAAGAAGGGGGCCGTTGAAAATTTGATATTTTGAATAGTCTGGTATCGAATCGAATTGAAGGTTCGACTGTACAAAAGAGTTGTCCTATCCAAGTTGCTTATAGTTGTAAACTGAAGCTATATGTTCTTCAGACATGTGGCATGTTCACTTGAATTTTGTTTCTAGTGATTTTAATGAGCATTCCTTGTCTGTTGTTGCTGTTCTTTTTCCTCAAGCATGGCGGGAGTGTCTCGCTCAACAACACTTGTAGCAGCGTATATCATGGCAGTAACTCAGCTCGATTGGAGAGAGGCTCTTAAAGCAATTAAATGTGCAAGACCTATAGCTAACCCAAATTACGGATTTAAAAGACAACTACAAGATTTCTACAACTTACATGCACCTCAGGTACTAAAAAACTTGTGAGAGACATGCATTTTCATTTAGAAATGATACCTGTATCATGTAAGATAAACTTAAAAAGCCAAATTTAGTTCATGGTAAGCTTAATGTTTGACTCAGTACAGTTTCACAAAACCGACTTTTATGTTCGTCGCTTCTATTCCACCAGCACTAATTGTCCAGTGTTGCTTCCTGAGAGATCACCGTGATCCAATGTTTTTTCCTTTCCTGAGCTAGTTGCTTTAGCGTTACTAGAAGAAGAAGATTTAAACGCAGCGCTTGATCGGGGGGATGAGGTGAAGGAACTCGGAAACCAAGGACTTCTGGATTGCACGCCTCACTCCGTGCTCACAACTTCCCTTGTCGAAAGGGAAACTTTAGATAGAAAGTGATAATTTCAGTTTCTGAGTTTTCCATGAAACTTTGTTTTTATAAAATCAGGAACGTGAAAGACTAAAAAGAGAGTTTCCTAACCCAAAATATAATGACGAGGAATTACTCCGAGACGTTATGGCAAAAAGTGAGAACAACGATGATTCAGAAGATCGCACGGATGATGTTATGGACGCTTTATGTAGACATACACACAGGACTAAAATTCAATCAATCGACAAGGAAAATGAGGAAACAATGGATTCCATAGGCGAGGAAAAGATTGACTCAATAGGCGAGGAACCTCCACCGAATACAGCTGTAGAGAATTAGAATATTTTCGTAGGGTTTTTTGCTTTGTTTTTCAGTTTTTTTCGCGATTTATACTTCACTAGTTACATGTATTAGAAGAGAAATCATCACAAATGGAAGTTATACACAAATTCTAATCCAATTCCCACACTGGTGCTTTTACATAAAGTCTCAGATGTTCGTTTTATTGCTATTTAAGCAATAGACCGCACTTTCAATCGGTTTACCGTCGTAAAACCCCTCGTGGGATGCTGACAGAACATGAGAAATGTTTGTAATTCGTACACGCCAAGGGCACGTGGTGTACAAACTTTTTTAGTGTTCTCCTAACATTACGCCAATAAAACAATAGTAAGTGCGGTCTATTGCTTTTATGAAATACACGAGACAAGTTTCAATTTTCTTTGGGTTACAAGCAATAAACGATAGGTGTTTGACCAATTATGGCCCTCGTAGTATCTCAGTGATTTTAGAAACCAAGACAGTCTTGTACACCTAAAACGCCGTAAGAATTTCTGTCTCACGGGACTCAAAGCGGATTAATATGGGCGGCGATCATGCGCCGTTGTAATATTAGCTGAATATTTGAGATTATATTTTTATAAAGAAGCTTGTACAAATAAGTTACTTATTAAACTGATTGTAAAACAAGGAAAAACAAATGTGGTGGTTTTTATAGCAATAGTTCGCCTCCTAGACGTCTGTGTCAGCCCAGCTTGTAAGGCGCTCTAATTCGATTCGATTTTAGTCGCTTCTCCTCTGATTTTTACTTATTTGTCTTGACGTATAAAATTTTTATTTCGTTACTTTGTATAAATAGTGCGTTCTCAGCGATCAATAGGTGCTTCAGTTCTTGAGGTCGTTATTTTTTGCCTCGTTGGGGGGGGGGGGGTACTATTCACAATGATATATATCTGATCCTCCCCTAGCCAAGGCTCTGTAGTATTCTAATGACTCCCCCCCTTGGCAGTGAATTTTCTATAGTGCCCCTCCTTTATTCTCTGTTAGCGACGGCTGATCCCCCTGATCTTCCCCCTGAAATCTAAATCATCCCCTAAAAAAATTCTCCGACCCCGCCTAAGCGATAAATTGATTTTTTCCTCGAAAGACCCGGAAGATTAGAGCAGGAGATAGTGAGGATTTCACGCAGCCAATGCCAGGATGTATCGGATTTTTTGCCGAAATTATTCTTCCGTCCATGTGTCGGGAAGCTTCGACTTCCTCTGGAAATAAGTTTGCGCTTAGGGTTTTGTTCGAGAGGAATACTTTATCAAGTTTACTCTCTGTAGAAAACCTTGCAGTAAAACAGCTCAGCTGGCAATTACGTTATTTAATGCTTCGTAAAAGAAAAGAATAGATAATGAAAAATGTCAGGACTGATTGAAGTAGACTCGGCGATAGGTAATGACTTCAATCATAAGACCTCTCTTTAATATAACTCATTTTACGTAATTTTCCAAGAGTTTACGAGTATCAGAGAAACAAATAAAGTATGTTGACCTTGGGAGAAAGCATCGTTCATAGTACAATACCAGTGTAAGTAGTTGTTATGAGGTGGCCAATCCAATTACAGCACGGTCTTAGAAGATTCCCTATATTGGAATAGCTACGTAAACGCGTACAAAATGTTTGGCGCGACACTGCTTTTACCATATTTAAATAAACTGTTGAAAGAGATGTTTCTGACGAACAACGAGAACAAAACTTCCGCGTTGTCAGTTTATTTATTAGGGCTCAGTGAACTGTAGAGGTTCACCGACTCCACATGTTTCCTTTTCAATTCCCCCAATAAACCATTTTATATCTAGAAAAGAGAGTAAACATAATATTTGTCGGCCCCTGTTAAGATAATGATCCTTAATCAGCCGCCCAAGGCCATATATAAATTACACTTGAGGCATCGTGGCTCCAAAAGAGCCCGGTCTACATTCCGGAAAATAACGCTGTCGATGTGACGATATTACTCCTCCTGCGTTGAATGCTCCGCATCAGAAATTTAGTTGTTGTTCATCTTGTTGCGAAGACGTAATCCAAGTACACCTACATGTAGTGAAGTTATATTTTTAAGTTTTGTTTAGGCGGTCTCGCCTGACAGGGTCTGTGTGACTAGTTTTGGATGTTTCCACTTCCAATTTCGCCATTTCTCATTGACCATATCGATAATAATTTGCTGCCCGCAATGCATATTTGTTCAAGTTTAACACTTCCTTTCATTTATTTAGTACGTTTTGGTCGGTTAATACTCCCTTAATTCCGAGTTTAAAGAAAATTCTGCTTCTTTCCGGGAAAACTTATAATTTTTAAGATGTATGCACTATGTAATTAGACAGGTTTTGATGAAACACAATTTCCATATTTTCACATTGGGTGATCGAGGAAGTATGTGTTGCGTGACACGCAGAATTCAAAATTTTGAAAGTACGTTTTCCTTCTTATGTTTCTATTCAGCCTTTCTTTACTGTGTCTCTATTTAGTATCCTAGCTGTACAAATTTAACTGATATATTCTCTAAGACAATTTCCGCCTTCATGCCCGAGGGGTTTGTTTTTTTGGTAAAATGAACTGGTACGATATTAGCATAGACGCAACACGTGTTTATTTGAGAGGAACGGAAGTCTCACGCTTGAGTGGGTTGACCAATAAGAGCATATGGAATTAATTTACCGGGAAAAACCCTTCAATAACAGAAGCTCTGGGGTTAAAAAAGGCAACATTACTAATTGGGTTTGGCTGGCGAACACTTTTACGTTTAAAGCATGGATGTCAGAAACCGAAAGAACTCATCCCTTTTCCTATTCCCGAAGATAGTGCTGTTGTAAATCCAGAACTGACTTAACTTGAATTTCCCTCGCAAGTAGATTCAAGAAAAGCGGTGCTGATACTGAAGGCGGCGACATGACATCGTCCACGGAGCGACAGCGGCTGAGACCCTGGTTAGAGGATAAAATAAACAGCGGAAAAGTGCCGGGACTGTGTTGGCGTAATAAAGAAAAGAAAGAATTTCGAGTCTCGTGGAAACACGCTGGCAAACCTGATTTTGTTGTGGAGAAAGATGCCATGTTATTTAAGCTTTGGGCCGAGCATACTGGTAAATATCGCCCCGGTGAATCTGCCGATCCCTCGACGTGGAAAACAAGGTTCCGATGCGCCTTGCACAAAATGCCGGACGTCGAAGAAGTAAAAGTTCCCCATAGTTTGGACGAAAAGGAACCTTACCGAGTTTTCCGTTTCAAGGATAAAGGTAAGGAAAAAGAACGGCGCGAGTCGAGTTTAGGAAAAACGTAATCCTAAATCATATTTGCTCACGAAGGTTTTTCGGAATCACGCGGTCAGTGCAGAAATAACCCATGACTATCAAGGTTATGTACACCGGCGAATAACAATTGTAGCCCGTTCAAATACAGCACTGATATCTTCCGACATTTAAGCTCTTTAGCCTGTGTGCAAACTAGTGTGACCTGTACCCAAGCTGTAGTAAAAAAAACAGAAATTAACCGCTTTCCTTAATTTTACTCAACAAGAAGCCAAAAGACTTGCTTAGTGTTTAATCAGCGCCTGGTCAGTGATCTTTTTTTCTTACGAGCAACGAGGGCTATTAATCTTGCCTGAACGGCACTCTGACATTCAAATTTTTTATACTGAGTGTTATATTCTAATCATGGGGAACAACGATGGACAATTAAAGAAAAAATTGAGAACAAAAAATGAGGGTAGACTTTTGAAGTAGTTTTGTGTCGATCACTAGAAATATTAGGTTAGGTGTATTCAAATTTATTCGCCGAAATTTTGATATCGAAGTACCAAGGATTTACCAAACAAAACAGTTTTTATCAACGTGCACAATACATTGTCAATCAATCTTTAAGGAAGTTTACGTCATCTTGTCGCGGTGTTTAAGTGCTAGAAAACGAAAAAAAATTGATATCAGTCATGGGGTATTTAGTTAAAATCGAGCCATAAGTACAGGAATAACTTGCTTTTCCATCAAATGGAGTGTAAAATGCAATAAACGAACTTCGCTGGAAGGATTGCCTACGAATTATAAAATTTGGGGATTCCCGGATTAGTTGCGAGCGAGTTATCATCATAACAGCTAGAGAAAATTTCCCTATTTTTTTTAAAACAATAATTTAAAAACAAGTTAATTCTGGTGTTTGGGGCCTTGTTAATTAGCTACGGTAAACAAAGACAAACTTCAAGAAAAACACTGTTTTGGCTGCCATCGAAGGTCTGCTTATCGCTTAATGTTGTCGATTTTCGACATGGCAATAACGAGAAATTTTACTTTTGCATAATTTTGAGTACTTAGTTTCCGTGACTTTGTATTCTCTTTGCCCTGAAATATCGATTGTTTCGAACCACGTTTGAACCACTGAAACGAAACTGGAGCAAAGTCAGACTTGCCTAAAAGAATTTGAAAATATACAAAGTTCGAACCTTCTATGAATTTCTAAGACGCATGGATGATTTTATTTTGAACGTTTAGGCGGACGGACTTATCGCTTTCGAAACTGTTTCCTTTGATGTTGACGCAAGACAGTACTAAAGTTTTTTTTTCATGCTTCGAATGAGATCTTTGATTCCATGCCATCCATTTGTCACAGTGCTTTGGAAGAACATTCAGATGGAATCACATTCTAATTAGTATAGAAGGCAAAGAGATAGATAAGATCCTTTGGAATATATCGTTGTTAAGACATCAAAATCGCGTCCGAGCCACTAATTCTAAAGCGAACCTTCCTAAAGAGATAATGAAAATATCAGTTAAAAATGACGTTGTCAACATAACTTAGTAGAAGACAAATATCCGGCTCGAACGAAAATCACAGTGTTAACTGAATTTAGGCCCAAAATCCTCTGCGATCAAATATTTAGTCAGAGAGATTTTCTTTTTTCCGTTTTCTCGTTCTCTTCTTGTCTGTTCTTTTTATAGAAAAACTACATCTTAATTTTGTAATTCAGGGTAAATCGAAAGTTCACTGCAAGGGACAAATGTACCGCACCCGGACACTCCCTGATCACACCCTGATGTTGTCAAGCTGATTACTATCAAACAATGACTGAGCCAGAGGCCTTAAAAAAAATTCATATGCAGCTTATATACCTTTATAGCTAATATGCAATTAAAATCTTAGGTAGCGTTTTTTTCCTGTACACACACAAATAGTTCGATTCTTTTTTAATTTAAACTTTGCTTTGCTAAATTTTCAGACTTCATTGCCCCGGAAATAAAATCGTGGGTTCAACTTTTTTATTGTTTTCAGACGATAAGACTTCCTTAGGTAACCAGCCAAGACTACCACGTGGGTGGAAGGAAGTTGTAATTAAGTGAGGTCGTTATCAGTTTCATCGGGTATCACTATTGTGTAATTTGAATAGGAAAACAAACAAAATATTGTGCTCACCCATTTCTGTGCCAACTATTCATGAAATCTAATAGGGAAGTCTGCAAGGGGCCGGGCGGTTCGATAGTTGGACGACATACCTCACAGAAACTCAAAAGCATGTAATTAATTTTTCTGCCAAAAAAGTATTGCATAATTTAGGTGAATTAAGTTTAGAATCCTCCACGAGTTCAAAGAAAGACCTACTGAGAAAAAAAAATTGGCCGAGAGAACTGAATATTCAAGATCCTCAAAAATCAATAAATTAAATAAAAATGTTGCTTAAAGTATCTTTCTTACCATCGATCTTGAATAGGAATTATAAATCTCTTTGCGCAATCATATAAATGACGATGATAACTCGCAAGTGTGGTGATTTAAGTGAAAGATGATGTTATTCAGTGAATGGCACAGGCATGCTGGGAAAAAAAACTGGAGTGCTTGCAGAGGGAGTCAAACCTACGATCTTTCGATCAGTACTTCGGATGCCCTACCACTGCGCTTGAGGAGACTCGTGGTAGGCTAGTTTGTTTAGTTAGGTCCATGGTGACAAACCTCCTGCCAAGAATGTGCTACTGCTAAAAGGATTTGTTGGAAGATTGTCCAAGGTGTTTTGGGAGGAAGTTGGAAAGGTCGAAGGATATGATCACGCATTTCTTTCATGTAAAACACAAGCTCAGTTATTATCTACCAGTTAGGTATCCCCATGCAAGGCTATGATTTACTCCAAGAGTTTTTTTTTTTAACAGTGATCATTTCTACTTGTGTTCTTCAGATGATTGCTCGCAAAAACCACAAAACTTCGGTTCACTGAGGTCGGAGGAAAATCAAAATGGCAAACGCCCAATGGTAAGGACAGTGCATCGTTTTGTCCCTCGTTCGGATGTGGTTTCTCCGGCAAAGGTTTAACATACTTTATTTTTTCTTTTAAGAAATATATAATTCATTTTGTCTAGGGTGGGAAAAGAAAAAGTCTGGGTCTCTCACAAAGAATAAAACCTCAGACATTTGGTTTTCGCAGCCTGATGCTCAGCATGCCTCTGAGCACTGATAACTCGCTAGGCCTCCATTGGGTACATATGTGATGAGTTTCTTGCATGGTGGGAAGATCAGCGATGTCGCAATTAAACTGTTGTGCGAATAATAAGAGTGATAACGATGGTAAATTTTTAGCTCGGTCGTCGAAAATAGAAACGAAAGATGAAATTCATTTCGTTAATTAATTAAGAGCGTGAGGCGGTGAAAAAGACCAAGTTTTTCGATTTGTTTGATCTCTTTAGTGCCGTGTAAAGGGCGACTCAGTGATACGTAGTACAGCTCCGTCAGCAAAAGTGGAAAATGTGTTCTTTAACAACTATCCAATTTTGTCTGGACCGCTGAATTGTGGCCAGCTTCAAGACTCTCCACACAATAGCAGTGACAGCTCACCTGAGGACGATTTAGACAGTATCACTCCGGTGAGGATTAATGTTCGGTTTGATTTTCTAAGGACTCAGGTATTAAACAGAGTAAAAGTGGGGAGACTCCCGCTCCTTTCCCTGCTCTAAATTAAGAGTGACAGCGTTCATCGTTACGGCGTGTTTTTGGACTGTTTTTGAAAGAGGGTTTATTACAAGCTTAAACCTTTCAAAGTGTTGAGTATTAAGACCCTCTTAACGATAATTCACTTGTGTTTTAGACAGCTTTTTACTTTCTCTCTTCTGCCTTTGCACTTCTGAAAAAAAAAAAAAAGCTTCGGTGATACGAGAACAGCCCCAAAAGCAACTTCCTTACGCAGTGATTATTTATTTTTCCTTTGGGAAGTTACTCTCTCTCGATCCAGTTTTCCTCGCCCGCCCCGAAACTTACGGTTATCCTGCTTTTTAGCATGTCAAGAACGCAACAGACATTTGACTTCATTGAATGCATTTTACAGACAATTCCGCCATATCCGAGCCAAGGCTACGAACCCATGCTCACCGACGAACCAATATGTGGAAATCTACCAAATCCATATCAGTTCTCTTATTCCAACAGCCATCTTCTTTTTGGTGGGGATTCTGCAAGTGATAACTTTATCAGACCTACGCAATTCCCCCCTAGATTGGAGAGTTTGGATTTCACAACCGTCAGGAAGGATATTTTAGAGGCCACTCTCGTAGCCAATGGCCAAATGTTCAATGGATTAAGCGAAGGCGGACAAGCATTTCTACAGCATCTCATGGCAACCAACCCAGCTCTTATGAAACTTTGGCGTCAAGGTGCATTCTCACCGAACGAGGTATGAACAGTGTGTTTTGAAGAACTCTTTAAAAGGGCACATGAATTAAAACTGTGGATTTCTTAGAAGGGTAAATTTGGTGTAACTACTTTTTTTCGGTCTGGTATTCATTTTAGCAGACTAAGTGACAGAGTGAACGTATTTTGCATTTATTGGAGGCACTAACTTGTTTCCTCAATCTTACCTGTCGTTCCTGATGTTAACACTTTTGTTTCTAGTCCTCTAATGGATCATCTTCTGTCAGCACTCACTTCAACATGGATAATGGATTAATAGGTAAGATTATTATAAAAAATACCACGAGTAAAAGGCCAGAAGTAGCTTGTGAGTATGCCCTCGTTACCAGTGCCTCAGCACGAGTATGCCCTCGTTATCAGTGCCTCGACACAAACGTTTCCTCGCCCGTATCAGTGTAGCTCTGGTAATGAGGCATTTTTAGTGCCAGACCCCTAGCAAACCTCACTTCGACTCGTTTCAAATCTTTCCGCGGCGGAAAAAGTCGAATACTGCAGCTCTTATAAGGAGCGCCTGCTTGTAAGCTTCGCCAGTGGTGTTACCGCAAAAATAATAAGATACTTTTGAGAAAATGCTTCGGCTCCTGAAACAGCTAATACCAACACATATTAACCGTTACATTGGAAAGCGTCGCGTAAATGATGCAGTGGTGATAAGGAGATGAGTTTCTCCCCACTCCCCCGCTCCCCCTTTTATATTGCTGTGGACTGGGGTCTTTTCCGACCATGGTACCAACTGTGGGTGGAGTGTCTCAGCATCTTTCACTTGGGCTTTCCGGACTTCCTTTCCAAAACCAAACAATTCAACTGATTTCAATTTGAAAAAGGAACAGAGGACTAAGAACCATTTCGTTGGTCTGCCTGCTAAAACGAAATGCATTTGATAATTAATAATTCATCATTTATCCTGGAGTTCAACTTCTCCTATTGTTATATTATTTAAGAAATAGTAAGCCCACCCAGACGTGTAGATGAAGTAGAACTGTGAAATTGCACTGCACAAAAAATTGAAGTTGATCATCTACCCAATTTTTTTTGTAGAGGCTACTGGTTTGGAAATGGATGAAAGCATGGGCCGAACGGTATGTAAATTGTCAAAATGAAGATTTTTGAAGATGAGAGTGAGCATCACAGATATTTATTTATAGTACAAAAAAGTTCACATCTGTCTTACGTCACATTTTCCAGGTCACAAACATCCATCAATCAAATGAGAATCCAGGGTCAGGGTTTGCAAGGCCTGGAAAACAAGCAGGAGACAGCTGTGGTAAGTGAAGTCTCTCACTACAAGATGAGTATATTACTCAGCGGAACTCGAGAATATGCACAAAATGATCGCGGTATCTCAATGCGATCTGGAAAAAGGTCTGTCTCAGTTTAGTTAAAATGCATTTATAAGCAATTTACAAGGGTATATGCCTGTTGGTAATTTCAAATCATTGTTCGATTTGTATATTCAGAATCCGCCATGCGCATCCGGGTATTCTATGGTAACTATGAAGTATTATCCACCGACACAAAGCAGACAGAAAGTGAACGGTTAATCAGGATATCCCACGGATGTCACATGGTAGAACCCCGAAAGCTCGAGTTGGGTTTACTGTGTCAACTGTTCGGACCTCCTACTGCCAGACAGATCGAGCTACCGCCAGCTGTGAACAACAACTCCAGGGAAGTTATGAAAGTGATGGATTTCATTAAACGCGGTATTATATTGGAGATCAACGAGTCCAATGACATAATTGTCACTCGTCTATGCCTCGCAAGGGTAAGCAGTTTTGTTCAGTTTTGTTTGTTTTTACTTGTGAATACCCGAAGCAAAAGAATGAGTATTGTGGGGATTCGATAAACAAATTTCGTGGCGTTAGCACGGCCTTAGGAGTCTGTGGAGAGCAAACATCTTATCATCACAACTAAAGAGGACCCTTGTCAGAATGTTGGCTCCATTCTGCTTCTTGGAATTATAGGATCACTGGCCTTTAGTGCAAGCACTGTATATACTAATTAGATTCTGTATAGCATATCCGCGACTGAAGTTCACTGAAGTATCACTTTGATCTTAATTATATTAGTGCTTATAGTAAGCGTGATAAAAATGCCTTCTGTTTTTGATCAGTTCATGGCGTTTACTTATATCTCTTCTTCTTCTTTTAGGTTTTCTACTCGAACGGAAGAAAGGCTGCTAAAAAGCTCATTCGCGAGGAACGCACTAAAGTATTTGATTATCAAGGAAAATTTCTTCCCAATCTCAGAGAAAGCCAAAACGGGAATTGCGAGTATCCTTCGTATGAAGTCACTCTTTATCTGGGAAGAGCCGATGGGAGTCTGGTCTCTATTGTTATCACTCACGTGATGGCTAAGATGACGCTGCATATTACTAGCTCATCGGGTGAGAACTTTTGGTCGGAGCCAAATGCGAACGATCAGTTAGCGACAAACTTGGAGGAGGATTGTATGTATTAGTGTAGACACTTAAAAAGTTATCACGTATATGTTGAAAAAAGCCATGATGTTCCATGCTCTCTTCAGTGCTCAGGGCGTTTACCTTGCATTATTGCGGACTGACTGACAGAGTGGCCAATTGATGAAGATAATTCTGTTGTTAAATTGAAATGTGAAGCCAAAGAAATCAGTTCTCTAAACTTTGCACATCATCTCTTGTACTAAACAAAACAAGTTCGATTCTCCTTTTCGTCAGCTGTGCCACTGCAAACACAACCAAGAGAAAAGACAAAAATGAATTCATTATCACGAGGCCCTACAAGGCTGTTAAAAATGAAAAATTTCGACTGTGTTTAGTATCAAAGATACCATAATGAAGCCTTTTTATGTCTTATAATTAGATGATAAAAATTCGTCTGCATGTAGTTGTAACATTAGCGAGTGTTTCTAAGTTAAGTTGATGTGAACCACATTACAGCTCAGTCACGAGTGAGCTTTTGTTAAAATTACTTATTTTATGAATTTGTAATTTTTTTCATTTCTATTGTCATGCGCAACCATAACAAAGACCTTGATAACATTTATATAGTATTTCTATAACATCAAAGAACAAATGCGTTTGTATCAAACTTACGATTGTTATGTAATTAGTAAAAACATGTCGCTATTGGAGTTGTAGCCGAGTCACACTCAGTATTTAGTATTCGTAGAGCCGTTTTTATGTGACTGTTTTAAAACTGAATGCAATTCAATCAAGTCCGAACACTGACAAGAAAGAATGTGAACGCAAGCGAATTACTATTATATCTTCAGTTAAGAAATACGTGGTAGCTATATAGTGGCGGAAAGTGCGCGAATACCACAGGTGTTAAACGCAGAAAGCCCGTCACTGCCACGGGTTAGGGTGCACGGCCATTGCCATGTATGATGGGAATGTTATCAGCATCGTGCCCATGATCACGCGTGAAACACGAAAGAAACGTGCGTTGGATCTTGCCTTGCTATTAAATAGTTAGGATAAGGTAAAAGTATTATTCACCAATTATTTAAACCACTCTGAGTGCGTAGACCGTGAACACAAAAACGTGACGAACCCATTCATGCAAAACTACTATAGACAGTCATATAAAAACAGTTTTATAGAAAAATGTTTATTAAGTTGTTTTCAACTGTATGCCAGGTTTATATTAGACTTTTGTAACTAATAATACGTTTTTCAATAAAACTAACACCCACACGCAATATTGGTACGGTTGGTACGCGTCTGGTTTTTTATATAATGATTGTAAATGTTCGAGAAAAATCGATTCCAAGTAACTCATTACCCATTGTATATGACAAAATGAATTTACTCCTCTTGATAATTCATCTGCAGTCTCTCTCCGACGCCTGTAAACGCGTTCATGTCGACCCATGTACAGCCACCCCTTTCTAGACTTTGATTACATCAATACAAAAAACTTATTTGGGCTCTGACTGATAATTCATTTTAAATTATTGTTTAAATTCCAGTCTTTTTCCTGTGTAATGATTGTGTTAATCCGTAGTTTTCGGTGGTCTTATTGATGGGTTGCTTACTTTTTACTGGATTTCCATCCACGACATGCCGTAACATGTCATCGAGAAAATCACGAAACTCCATCTTAAAATCATTTTTTTGATCGACCTTGGCTGAAAGTAGACTTGCGATTGATTGCGTGTCCCTAACTCAGTCAGTGAATTCTTCAGATCCGCAACAATAATCTTAAGAGTAATCAAAGATACTACTGAAAAGGAAGCGTACAGCTGACTCTCAATACCAAGTGACTGACTAATTCCTATAAAAATATTTACACTGAACAGTGATTTAAATCTTATTGGTCGTTATTGCCTGCGTGCTGTTATTCATTGGCTCAGGTCCGCTGAAGAAATACTGTAAACAGTCATAATTCCTTAAAAATATACGCTTTACAGTTTGGCGAAACGCTCTATATCGAATGCTATATATGATTGGATTACAAGCGCTGTTTGCAAAGCCGATAAACATTGTTATTAGATCTGCTGTTGGTCCTCCTGTGGATTTTCCACGGGCCATTTGCACAAACAGAAGAACACAAAAAGGTGACCAACAAACCATATAGATTCCAATAACAATAAGCACTGTTAAGGCTCCCTTCCTAGTTGAGGCCCGTGTTCTTGTTGTTAAATCAAAGTTACTTCGCACCTGTTCCATTGTCACGGAAATTTTCTTCGACTGTTTGAAAATTGTCAAAAAAATCTTCAGGTAAACAAAGCACATGACTAAAACGGCAGCCCCGTATGTTCCACAAACGACTGCAACGGTGAAAACGACCGCAACTTTGCTCTGGAGCCAATCTTTCTCAAGACATTTTCCGATGTAAGGAATAAAACATTCGTAAGAACTTACACCGAAAAGTGGCGGTAGGGCCCATAGAGTTGAATATATCCACAATAAAAGACAACCATATTGAGCTCTTGTTTTGGTAAATATCGAACGGTAAGCTAAGGGACGAGTAACTGCAATATATCGGTCGAACGACAGTAATGTTAGGTGCATAATAGAAGAAATACAGAAAGAAAAGTTACCAAACGCGTTTAGTTTTCCCCATAATGCTCCACATCGCCATTTTCCTGATAACAAACCGTCGATTGCACAGGGCATAACTAGTAAACCCACCAAAAGATCAGCGACCGCTAACGAAATGACGGCTTGATTGTTCGCCATACTTTTCAGTGAATTGATGTTCGCCATTGCCACGATAACAAAAGAGTTACCAACCAGAGTTACAACGTTCACTACAATCATGAGAATGCTTGTTAAAACTACCACTCCCAAAGGCCAGGTTGAAGGGACCAAGGAAAAATCTTCCACGGTAGATACATTGCAGCAATTGTTACTGAAATTTTCTGACATCCTAAACTTCATCCAATGGATTTAAGTTCTGAAGATGGCAAATAATTCTTTGCGTTATTTGTTTGATGGCGTATCGGAATAGTAAAGTGGAAAAGCACAGAGTCGACGAACTTGAAAACTAAAAAAATAATCACAATTCTCTGTGTGTAGGAGGTCCCAAAGTCTTTTTCAAGAAACTGCCTTAGAGAAGACTCGAACCTTTAAAAAAGGTCTCTGCTCTATTTTTCACTATATCCTGGTGTTCCAAGTCTTGTTAGCGTCCTGCGGGCAAATATGGCTCAAATTCTCTCATTATTCAAAAGTATACGAGGGCACTAAAGGTTCTATATATCGATAATTGTAAAAGCCACAGACACAATAACGAAGGAACCACAACGATCAATACAGCTTCGCTTAACTAACAATATTACCACATTCAGAATGTTTTTATTAGCTTGCGTCATGATAATGCAGGAGAGATCGACTTCACTAGAAGCACTTTCGGTTAAAAGTATAGTTCGGTATCGTTAAAATAATGATTAAAGAACACTGGCTCTGACGATGGGCTTACGCCCGAAACATCAGCTTTAGAAACTCTACCGTGGCAAATTTACATTATAAACTCAGTTGCTAAATCCAATTATCTTTCAGAAAAAAGAAGCATTTTTTACTTTCTCATAATTCACGGACTCAAATTGAATTGCTTTCAGAGAACAAAATAGTCGTAAAAAGTGTAAAATCTCGTTCCGCTCTGTTGAGCCTGAGTTATCAGCCACGAATTTATTGTTGTTTGATTGGATGATCTGAAATAGCTTCACGCTTCTACACTTACTATGGAGACAACATGCTGAGCAATTAGAAAACAAACCACAGTTTCCACGAAGTTTTCAAACTCACTATTGATAATTTCATTCTGTTTTTAATACTACACAAAAATACTAGCGAAATTGAAATGACTAGGCAATAACGAAATGTGCTTGAGTACCAAAATCTAAAAAAAAAAAAACTAAGGGCATTGGTAAAATCAGTTATTTTAATTCAACAAGATAATTTTAAGAATCATTTTCACCATTTATAGAAAGTGAGAGTTATTTTCATGCATTCAGTATAATAAAACATAAGTCAAGGAATAGAAGAGACAGCGTGACAAAGTTGATAGCAAAAATCCCTATGCATTTCCTATGGCTGAATACATATATAACTGATATAATAGGAAAAACCTTATGAACAAGACTCAATGAACAAATTAAAACAAAGCAGGGTTCCAGACGAAAAGCCCAAAATGGTTTTGTGAGAGCTACTTTTTAATTAATCTAATTTCTTCTGTGGCGAGTTTAGAAATGCTAAATTTAAACTATTGAAGGGTTATATTAAGAAGTCTTGACGAAGCAATATAATCATTCAGTGCCATAAAATCTCCCGGCTTCATCTTAAAGTTGCAAAGTGAAACGATTATTGCTGACATTTACCTTTTCAGCACCAGTCTAAAACTAAAATCAAACTGGCTCCGTTACTAATCAAGAAAAGTGTACTGGCAACGATTTCTATTGTATCTGGTCGTAGAGTTTTATAAATTAAAACTCGATGAATGTAAAATTTGCAGAAAACAGATATGTTAAGTCAGGTCAATGAAAATTATTTCCCATGTTATCCTATTTTTAAAAGATCTTATGTACGAGGATCTACGTCACATTTTGTATTCGGGCTGAGTGTTTTTCAGCTATCCTGTCAATCTTCTCCACACTCAATCATTCATGCTACATTTCGGTCTGAAGTTTCTCCTGTTCATTTTAATGACTTTTAAGCTGGGAAAATTTTAATTAGGACAATTTCACAAACTTCAAACAAAAACAAAACAAAACAAGGGAAAAACATATGAAAATACATTCACCCAATAACTCTGACCCTAAAGATTCGCACGCATGACGTGTAAACAGCGTAAGATTCACACGACCTAATTGACGCTTTAACTGTATTGTTACAATTTGGTAACTACTTCATTTGGAGATATGAAAGAAAAATATCTGTCACTTCAGCTTCACGAGTTTTGAGTATGGAAAAAGTGGGCACAACCAAAATACTGAACTGTCATTCTCTAGGTGAAGGCCAACATCTTACACGAAATCTAATGTTCAACGCTATCCAATAGCAAGGTTATCTGGACATTTAAAATATTTTCATCGACAACTGTTGCAGAAGGTAAAAATGCCGATGCATGAATGAGCACCGAGCTCAAACATTTTCATTTCTCAGCCTCACACGAAAAGCCAATTCATATCAGGAGGGTCGTAATAATGTAAACAAAGGATAAAAATAGTACCATGATTTCGTGTTGAATTTAGAAATGAGAAGCACCCTTAAGTAGATTTTAAATTTGCCATCTCTAGATCGCTTTCTGACGACGACACAGCAGCTATATTGTTTACCAAAACGATATGATGGCAGCCATGTTAGTGTTCAAGTCTTTCCTGTAACCTTATAAACGCTTTTCATTTGTAGACAGTTACTTCTCCTCCGATAAATTTGCGTAGCTCTCAGCAAGTGATTTTGAAAACGTCCTCGAGGATTTGAAAAATTATTTGGGTGTATTCATGATGTTCATATTCGAAATTCCTGCGGGAAATAATGACATTTTGCTTAATAGGTTAAGATGGATTCCATGTCTGAGAAGTACTGGACCCCTCGTCTTTTTGATTCCTGGTTGAAAAAATGCAAGTGTTCTCAAGGTAGCTCATCAATTTAGTATAATGCTCTAAAGATTGGCTCAGGTGCAGAACTGCACAATTCCTTCTGGACTGCTAGTCTTCCTTTTTTCACACAAAATTGTTCCATTTGAGAATGATTGGTTTGCGTTTTCTCGTAGCTTCTTGTGGCCTAAGAGTTCCGGTCTCTGGCACCTGTACTTTTCCAAGTTCCTGTTTCAAGTGATTGTTAAAATAACCAAAATTTTGAAATAAAATCATGGTTTTCTTGAGCTCTATTAGCCTTGGCGAAATTTTGTCTCGTAACAGCTTGATAGCTTTTAATTATCAAAGTTCCCTGATCAACTTTGATAACAGATTAGTTTTCAAAATAATAGGCTTGAAATGTTTGTGTGCCAAACCATGTTAAAAGCATAATACTACTGCCGTGATAAACAATACTTGAATCATATTGGACAATTAGTTTTTCTTCATGACGTTCCATGCCCTTAAACTTAACCTGTTTTCGCAAAACTGAATCATAATAACCTCCATTTTAAGATTTCATCGCTGTTATACCTCTGTGAAGATCACTAGCTTGATTAAGGTTGTGCGATAAAAAGTTTAAACCCATGAGCTACTGATGATCATGTGTCCTGACCATCCAGGTTACAATATGGT